CTTCGTCGATGTGCAGTAATTGTATGTCACTGTGTACAGGTTGGTGTAGTTAGCAAAGTAAGGCCAGCCTCGAGATTGGACATCATATGGTCGACACCTGGCTTGAGGAATGCCCATGTCTCCTCCAAGTCCGCCGTCTTGGGAGGAATCCGGGTGAATCGGTTGGCTGAAGATGTCGTCGAGGGCTCCATGGTCGTCAGCAATGTGATATCGTGAGTGAAGCCTAAAAAGAAAGGTGTCGCGGAGGGACCCTTGATCAAGAACCACCACCATGTGGGGTTCGGCGTCTAGCCACTGCAAGCCTGGCTCAAGGGATTCTGCTCGTCAGAGCATCAAGCAGGATAATAAGCCGTTCCTGCACCTTTGATGGTCAGGAGAAACGTCTCGTAATCTTGAGACGTCCCAGATATTCTGGCGGGAGCCACTAACTACATCTATGTAGTAGTTAGTCGATATACTCCAATGCCAACCCCTCAGGCATCCTCTCTTCGTACAGGCAGACTCCTGAATGAACCACCGCTGAGCTCCCCATTGCCGACAGTAGCAAGGCTCAAGCACTCCCCAGTGTCCGAACTCGAGCCACTAGCCGCTGAAACAGTGGACGCGTGTCAAACTAGCTATGATGTTACGTCACGCGAATCACACTCAAAGACCGCACCCAGCGTCTTCACCTCGAGACACGAGACGAAATGAACACGAACGTACCTTCAAGCTCAATGCAATATCGACGACCCACGCGAGTACCGCAAATAGACTGGAAGAGTGCCGCTCAAACAGAATTCATCTCTGCCACCCGGCAATAAGCCGAACAAAGGATGCTGACGATGCACCGCCCTCCTTTGTTCGAGGAAGAACAAAGACAAGTCCAAACCATGATAAAAGGCTGTACCCAGACCCATTTCTTCTGAAAATTTTGTACAAGGTTCGAATGAACACTGCGTTGTGTCTTCAGTTTTGTCCAGGCTGCATGGGATGTACCGCAAGTGTCGAGGCCAAAGCCGAAGATGTCTGTCACATTGGAAATAATGGAAGAAAGAGCACAGCTCTCCCTTTGTGCATACTCGTATTCATTGGGGGTGAGGCTAGTGAGGGTGGTGGTTTGGGTAGGTAGTAGGGAGGGTCCTGGTACCATTACAGAATTTTCCCAGTAGTTGATTAATCCTTGTGGTCCTCCTTTGGCCATCATTATCATTTCAAATGCAGTCCAGTTTTCTCTGTTAAATTTCTCATTTTCATTGGGTTTGAATGGTAGGATTTGGGTTGGGGTAGGGGTTTCAAAGAAAAGTTTCTGCGAGCCGATATGAGGGCCAAAGTTAGGTCCAAGAGGTGTGAACGAAAGGAAAACGGACGGAAGTAAGTATGGAAACGATCGAGCAGAAATGTATGAACTTGTAAGTAAATTTAGAACGAACGGACCGATAACCCGATCAACGGGCGTATATGGCTGAATCTTCAACAAGATGGGTGTCGGATATTCCTCCCCTGGTATGTTGGTATTGAAGATTCCCTGGGCGAACTTCAACAAGGTTCCAGAAGATGTAGGAATTCCAGTGCTCCAGCCCGAGCTCCTATCTCCGGCAGCTGGTTTCCATAACAGCTTCTCTTTTATTCAGCTCGTATTTGGAACACTTTCTATGGACGGCGATCTCAAAGATCCATCCTTCACGATCACGCAAGACCCTCTGAGGTGGTATGGGGCGTCGGATCTAATTCTGATGCTCTGGGTTCCTGCATGGATTTTGTGTGTTAGTCCCAAAACTACGGACGTCATGTTTTCTCATGTTGTCTTTCCGACCTGCACCTTCAAAAGAATTCCTCTCTGAACCCATGCAGCACTTGTGTTCCTCGTTGACTATTTTTAAAACGAGGCTGTTGGATGGTCAACATGCGTTTCTCAGTCGGAGATATCCTTCATTCTCGGATGCTTCCCTGACTTCAAGCACCCTTGGCAAGTTCAAACAGGTATCTCCTGCCACCTCTGATAACCAGCCCGTTTTCGTTAAGGCCTCCCTTAGTAACCCCGACAATGTCATTATGCTGTCTATACGAACCAACGTGGTAGATAATACTGCCCGCGAAGCCTTGTTAAAAGGTCATGGCGTAACTGCTACACAGAAATCCTCGTGCAAAGTGGAATTTTAATTTGATGGCTTCAAGTTCTCTCATTCTGTCGCGTTTCCTTATCCCATCGACGGCGCCAAAATCAAGCTGCGCATTGCACGAAAGTCCCATTACATAGAGGTGAAATCATTTGCTATCAGAGCGTTCATTCGGCAGCTCACGTACATTTACTTCTTACACGTCTCAGCTCCTGTATCGAATCAAAAAGTCCTTGACAGCCTCTCGTTTAATTATGGCTCTGTACCTATGCTCAAGGTACCATGACTCTGGTCCATGCATTACTCCTCCTTAACATCCCTTCCTGTGATCGATCTGAATGGAAATCTCGAGTGGCTCCGACAACACATATCACTGATCTTCTCCGAGCGTGAATGGGGTCTGCGAGATCTACCGGCGGCACAGAGAGATGACGCTCTCTTGTCAATCAAAAGATACATTTTCACCCTGGTCTTCGCCTCTGCTGGGATTGACATGCCCCGTTAGCGTATCGTCTGTATCGTGAACGAAGACACAAACTTGCCTGAAATCGTAATCATTCTCCGGCACGTTCGTCTCGATCTCGCCTCCCATACCGTGGTCATTGATTGTTTTGTCCTTCCATTTACGAAAGCCTTGTACTGGACTTTACCAGTGTTGGATAGGAATCCGGTACTCACAATAAAGACGCACAGCGCAGAGATTAAGCTCTGGAAGCAGATGCTCCCAGCAATCACTGAATGCTGTAGAACTTGGAGTCACGTCGATAACTGCGAATACCTCACTCGCGGAATTCCGGCATCTTTAGAGGAGTTCGAAACACCGCTATGTTCATGCGGGTGGCCATGGCACTAGTTCTTTTTTCAAGGATGCCGGACTTGACGAGAGGTTTTGCAGCCATGTTACAGAGGCAGAGATTTGATTCTTTGATTGTACTTCTGTGTATATACATGCTAAATAGCACATCTATAGCTCTACCTTTATGCGATGGTGCCATTCCCTAGTAAAGAAAGGTAAGCAGGCGATTAATTTGATCAAAGAAGATGACGCACGCATTCTTCCTCAGCTCTTCAAGGCTAGGGGCTTGAAGTTGTCCGTCGGCATCAAAGACGTCCACAAACGAGTACTCGAAAGGACTCGGGACCTCCGGAACGCAGGTATATTCCTGCTTAACGCCATAGTCATCATACCCGAAGGGCTCTCCTGGCTTTTCGGGAATTTTCAGCAAGATAGCGTTGCTCAACTCCATGGAAGGGTCCGAGTCGAAGTAATTCCATGGCGACAAGAGGAAGCTAACGCATGATTTTAGATCAGGGAGACAACATCAAATATGAGTGAATGGCCAGACCTGGAGGCCGCGACGTTGGTCTTGGTGTTGGGTGAATCTTCACTAACCGGAAGATGATGCGTTCCGACGTTCACCCAAGCTACTAGATCCGTCTGCGTGATATTTTCTCCGTCGAAGAAGTTGTGGAAATCTACCATGGGCTTTCCTGGAAGGTTCATATTCCAGATGGCGCTTGATGAAGGCTCGCTTTCTTTACGATGAGACACTGCCAGGTTGTATCTGGCCCAATTGGCATTGTTAAGCAGTCGTTTCGAGCCGACGACCGTCTGTGTATTTTTGTGTCAAACAAACCGGCGGATTAACGAGATGGATGGGACTGACGTTATGAACGGGGGAATATCCCGGATGTATCGCGTATCCACGAGGAAGACCCCAGGCGTTTCGGTTATCCTGATTGACAATGGAATAACCGCCCTGGAAATTCTGCGGATATTTGAGCAGAGCATCGTTCTCGTTCTCAATGATTTTCTTCGTGATTTTCTGCTGAATGACTTCCTGTCCCCAGTCATCGTCGAACCAAGGCTGAGTAACAGTTTCTTGGCTCGTCGTTGTTTCCAAAAGTGAGTTCTCAATACCACCTATGTCGAAGTCAATCCTAGCGGGAAACCGATGAGCAATAGCTACTTGTAGAAGGTGTTCCCTGTTGACTCACTTGAAATTGATGACATGGTCATGGAGGTTTCCCACTATGGGCTCTTGTTAGATATTATACCGTTAGGTGGGAGCATCAATCCTGACTTGTTGTCTCACGAATCCTTCCGCCATATCCATCCTGTTTTGGTTCCCAATATCCACCTTGGAGATAACCGGAGGCGGATACCCGCACCTCGATGCTACCATCCAGTTGGAACATATAATCAAACTGATAAAGGGCAGGTTATCTAGAGGTTGACGGGGGGAAAAGGCTAGAAGCTTACTACTACCAAACGATGAGTCGCCGAAGATGTAGCTAAAAGCCCAAAAGGGAAAAAAAATGGACCAACTACTCACAATAATCATAACTGAAGGTAATTTAGTCAACAAGGAACCAAGCTCAAGAACGGAGGCCCTTACTTTCCAACCGTGCTGATGCTCCGTACCGTAAGAATGTAACCTTTAACAGCACCGAATTCGCCTTGCATGTATCCAGAGTGACGAGTGATCGGTCTACCCGTGTCTTGCTCAAATATGCAGACAGCCCTCTTCCTGACGACACTACCCGTGCTGGCGTAGGTCGTCATCGGAAGGTATACGGCTTCGTGAGGGCAGTCATATCCTGGAAGCATATCTCTGACGGAGCCACCCATGCCAAAGTAGCGATCGAGCCATGCCGTAGTTGTTTGCATGGGGTCGTTACCGCCTACATGGTTAGTTATCAGCATTGTTATGAACCATATCAGAAACGCTCACGACTCACCGTACTGTGCCAATGCTTCTTGGGGTGCGAGCTGGAGAGTATACGAGCATGTTAATGGTGTCCACGGTCAAGCGCGCAATGAGGGACACAACATGCCTGATAAATAATCCTCTCTTCCTTAAAGGCGATATTCCAGAGGCTCAAACCCATGTCCCGATCAAACCCAAGGTACATGCTCCATCCCATCCAGGAGATGTACTGGCGGGCTTTGTCGACGCGGAATCGTAGCCCCGCAAAGGACACCGACCGAGGTCCGGGAAGGTGATCAAGATCGCGCTGTTCGCCTACGCGTTTCCTCGTGGTCCAAGACAGATCCTTGTTTTCAGGCCGCTCAGGAACGCGCACGAGGGTGCCATTCCGGAATGCCTCCATGAAAGACTCTGTTGAATTGAAGACTTGGTGGTTATAGACTACCTGGTAGTGTTGGATTCAGCACGAGTACTAGCGCGGAACGATCAGAATAGCGATTTTTACCTTTAAAACTTTCCAAAGAGAAGGGTCCGTCCCGCTGATGTCCACGTACTGAAAGAAGTTGACCGGGTGTAACCATGGACCTGGAGTGTTGAGCTTCCAATTGAGCCATACACCTTGAATAGTAAGCCTTGTTAGCCAAGCGTCCGGTTACGTGCAAGTGAGAAGCTACGTACGGCGGAAACTTCCATCAAAACTAAACGGCGCCGATGCGCCCACAACCAAGGTGTCGTTTTTATAGCCACGAGCCACGCCTCTGAAAAGTTCCTAGCAGTGTGACTACTCAGTAAATTAACGACCGCAGGAGGGACATACGTACCCATAGCGCGTCTTCAAAAGAAGGCGCAATTTGGGAAACGACGAGAGAGAGCTCGGAACCGGTAGCATAACCGCCGGCATGGAACGGTATGTCCTCTCGATGATAGATCTCTGTGAGTTGTTTCATCGTTGTTCCGGGACCTACAGGAAGTGGTCCAACGAGATAATCCCTAATAACCGGTTCCACACCATAGTGAATGGTAACTCGAGCGAATTTTTCCGGGGGAGAAACCACGTCTGGAGAAGCCAAGTACGCGAGGGCTGCAGACTTTGGAGGGTAATATAACTCGATCATGAAGATGACATTATCGGAGAAAGTCGAAACGCTGGCTCTTGTCAAGTTAAGTCCCCTCTCTGGGGCCTCTAGCCATCGTTGAATGCTTGTGGTCTCTGCAACAGTTAGGGACGCCCAGACATTAATCGGGGCAGGAGGGTGAACTGGAGGCGGAAGCGAAGATGCGCATTGCTTGAGGGGAGCCGCTGACTCAAAAGTTCCGATATCTGATGATACGGATAACTCTGACTCGCCAAGGAGTCGCCAAAGGTCTGTATTGTGCAGAGATATGACAGAAATAATGGCGATAGCAACAAGGGACACAAGACCAAAGCCCCATCGCCGTTTCTTTGGTTCGATGAGGTCTGATTCTGGATCTTTGAGCCTCTCGTAGTTTTGATGAGTAGACATGATAAGAAATGAAGTGCAGACCTTCTTCGTTCGCAAGTGAGGCATTTATACGGGATGACGCATAGATAAGAGTTTGTCGTTATCAGAGAAGTTTGATTGCCTGCGGAATATCAGCTTCCGCGGAACAGCGTGGATACACGGTTGTTTGCAGAGAGCATAAGATGCGAAATTCATGCTAATTCACAGTGCATGACACAATCGAGTCTCACTCCAGAAATCTGTATTTTTGATATGGTCATTCCTGTCGGCTGAATAGTTCGCACTGGCCAAATGCAACGGAAAATGATTGGAACACGGATAAATATTTGACCACGCTTTTGTCCACAACGAAATGCGTCGGAATTACTTTTAATGGTAGAGCCGACGGATTTACTGTGAGTTCAGGATGCCTCGACAGAATATTATCTGTTGTCCGCCCATTTTCGTTAGCTTTGATTGACCCGAGATAGTGGCTTACCAGGAGGAGTGGATGCTTATCGTTTGGATTGGGGGCGTGAGAAATTTTCAAACTGATCCGGCTGATATTTCGTCTTATGTAATTTCCGTGTCTGGCTACGAGCCTGGCAGAGTTCTTCATTCGGCTACAAGAAGTACCAGACTCAGCCATCTCCACCATGAACGAGACGACACCTGCGGGCCAGCCTATCGTAACCAGAGAAAAAGTGGGTAAATGCCATCGAACAATCAGCAGTCGCTAACTATTTCTTCAGACAGCGCCATTCCTCATTCGGACCTTTATCAAAACCGGCAGCTTTCACCGGATAGCCCAGTTCGAAGATGGCCCACTTCCTACAACTGACGAACAGCAGATATTCACTTGGTGCGTAATCATGTCTATATGTTTTTTTTATACAGTGAATTAATGATTGCAGGAAGGACGCCACTCTACGAGAGGTTCTGACCACTATCCGGAACAGCACACCCATGGTTCAAGAGTACCGACACCCGCTCGCGCGTTTCTCATTCCGTACCGTATACGCCGACCCTGGCAACAAAGGCCGCTTTGCGTCAAAAGACCTAGGCCAGGTTTACTCTCGTGATATCCTTGGAGAGCCAGGATCATTGACCACCACCGCGCCACGTCTCCTCGAAGACATCGACGGAGAGAACCGCGAACCCACCGAGCGTGAACGAGAAGAGCGGACGCTCGACGAGCTGCGTTTTGTTCCAGGTGACTACCTCTTGGTCGCGGTGTTCCTCCCAAAAAGCGTTGTGCCGCCCGAAACGACTACACGAGCGCTGCCTTTCAATGGCTGGAAAGCTGGAGGCCCAGGGGTTGGCGGAGCTCCTGTGATGGTTCGTGGAGGCGGCGGGCATTGGAGGGGCGACTCGAACGGTCTTCGGGGCCGTGGTGGTGGACGTGGCGGCGGAGTTGGGGACAGGGACAGGGATAGAGACATAGAGGATAGCCGTGTGCCGCCTCCGAGGCGCGGTGACCGTGGGAATTCACCTCCGCCTCGTGAAATCGGCTGGGGCCGACGAGGCGGTCGCGGAGGACGAGGTGGAGGTGGCAGGCGGTCGCGTTCTCGATCGAGATCGCGTACTCCGCCCCCAAAGAAAAGTTCAAGATATGACTGATTCATTGTCCACCTGGATAGTGTTAAAATGTATCTATATCTTCATAGGTGTGCTGTCTTTTATTATCTAACTGCTTCGGTGCTATTTCCTGGCTATGCTATGAGATACAACATTCACATTTTTGCTCGAGACGAAGACGGGAGCATCTTGAGATGAACACCTGAGGCCACAATGCATTGACGCGTCGTATTCCATATCTGTGTTCCAATTGGTCAGGACCTTGGCTGTTAATCTATTCGATGAATCTCACTTCTGTGCGTATTGACATGGCTCTCGCTCCAACACTCACGCCGGTGCTGACAATCTCCAGTCCATCTCCCCTGTTCAAGTTGCATCATTTATCTCATGGTCTTATCATCAGACCTTACAAAAAAGCTGACGAATGATACATCACATCCAAGGTCTGCGAAATCGTGTAAAGCTGGACCCAATCGCAGCTAGTGGTGGTTTTGCACAGCACGTAGGCTACCAGACCAAGTGAGGAGCATCTGTAGCTGATTCATCAGCACAGAGAACATAACATAACGGCATGAAAGAGTAAAGACACACGTATCAATTATAAAGGCACTGCAGCCTCCGTGCATGTTCCCTGGTGTGGCGTCCAGCATATCTGTAAATACAGTGCTTCATTGGACCCATAATCAGCTCCAGCCGCAACGCACCCTCAGTCACCGTCAGTGAGCATACAACTTTGAATCGATCCCTCGTACGCTGCTCAGGCGAGGCATCGAGCGAAACATGGGAGATAGACAGCCTTGAAAGAACCTCGTGCGCGAATCCTTTTGTTTGTCCGAGCGAAAGAAAGACACATAAGCACTGCTTGACATCGTCTGGAGCATTCCCGGTGACTTTGGCATATTTTTCTACCATAAGTGGGGTCGTGAAATGCGATGATGCGATGGGCGACGACACGGTTAATAGCAGTGGGGTCCGTCGAGATGCCATCCCTGAGGTAAAGGAGGATTCCAGAAGGAAACTCTAGTTGAAGGGAGACTAGAATCTAACTTTGAAATGCGCAACTATTGAATTGATCATGTGAGTTTCCGCCAGTCTGTAGTTATTACATAGTAGCCGCCGCGCATCAAAGGCTGGTAGACATTGAGGGCATTACATAACGTCAACACATTTGCTACCTGGTGAGCAAATAATAAGTATGATTAAGTTGCAGGATCATATATAACTAAACGTTTTACCCGGAGGGATCTCTATCTTCAGCACCACCCACGACTTCTGCTCCTGGCAGCAACCATCTGAAGGTTATGCTTATCCGCATCGTCCTTTTCATCCATCGACCACCTGCATCCCCCGACAATGTATCCGGAGTCTGAACATAATCCATCGTCTTCTCCTCAATACCATGACTCCATTTATACCTCGCATCTCCTGACATAACGATGATACTTCTCTCCGGAAGGTACACCCCGTACGCCTGATCTTTCAAGCCAGACGCGAACTGCATGACGCACCCGCTGCCAAAGCTGACACCCACAATGCCATCTCCAAAACGCCCCAGAAGATCAACATGGGGCGTTATTCCTTCCCCGGGATCGTACCGATTAATGATGGCCTGCCTGGCTCGGGTGGGGACAGCCGGAAAGAGTAAAGAATGGATTTCGGGCGGCAAAGTAGGCTTGAGAAGGCGGGAGAGAGCATCGAGCAGTGAAGTAAGAAGTGGCGGTAGGCCTGTGGACGATTCCGCACTGGGAGCGCGACAGAAGAGCATGATCTGATTGATGTTGGCAGACGTGAAGAAAGTTTCCAAGCAGTAGTTCATCACGGCATTTGCGAATTCTGCGGGAAGACGGAGAGAGGGGGTGAAGAACAGACCTGGAATTGGAGGAGCATCGACAAGTGCTGCCGGGCCAAGAGAGCTTGAAGACAGCTCCGCAAAATCATCAAATAAGGAATTCGGCGTGGACGATGTGGACGCAGGAGATTCTGATTCCTGACACGTAGAAAATGTCGTGTTGATGGGGAGAAGGTTCGTGGCTACTGTAAAAAACACAAATCGGCTGACGTTGTTCAATTTAGAACTGAGGACGCACTGAAATGTGGCCCGATCGCAATTTCTGTTCGCGTGCCCTCCATTAATCTGAATGAACAGCTGTCTTCAGCATGTCCAAGCGAAGCGTTTCATGTGTTATTTATCTTATCAGGGTATCGTTACCCGGCTTTTGACATTACTCCGGCCCGGGCTCCTTTAAAGCGACCATTTCATGATCCCCATCTCTTCATGGCAACCTCAACTTCTGGGATCGACGACGTCTCCTCTATAGCCGGAAATGTATCGGATGAAATCAAGAGAATCGTTGGGTCTCCCATGCGTACCTTTCGCATGATAACGGACGAAGGAGAGCCCACAGGATTCGGTGCCACGTTTACGTCGGGAATGACTGTTTCCGAGGTGTCAATGGTACCCAAGGCGGAAGAACCAACGAAGCAGGAAGGAAGGGTCGTGTGCAAGCTTGTCGTGACCGAAGGTGCCTTCTAGCTCTCTCTACGATCGGAAACTGTTCCTTAAGCTTAGGCGCACTTAGATATGCTCAACGGTGCCATGACAATCCACGGCGGCTGCTCCGCTTACTTGGTTGACATGTGAGGCCTATGTATTCTGACGGTGCCGAGTCTGAACTACTTTTCAGATGTTCCACTCTGGCAATAATAGCGTACAGTCTAGCCTATGGGAAACCAGCCAATACCGTTTCGCAAACAATGAATATAACGTACCATTCTCCAGCGGGTTTGTAAGTTATCAATACCCTATGCACATGCCAAAGCTAACGAATCTATGTAGGGGTGAGGAACTCAGAATCGTCAATACTACGATGTCTATTGGCTCGAAAACTCTGGTTGCACGCACAGAAGTGTGTTGTTGTTCGCATCAAGCGTATTACCTCTTACCCATTCTATTGCAGATCTGGAGTGACACTACGAAGCGCCTGGTAGCTTCTGGAGTGCATAGCAAAATGCAGCCGTCACAGGCCAAACTATAGGCCGATGGAGGATATGTAACTATAGATTGTAGAACGGAAACCTTGGATAATCTGTATAATAACCCTCTCACCAAGTCTTGCGCCAAAGATGAGGGTCTTTGAGACGGCTAGAAAAAGCAACTCCATTAGGGTGAATTACTGACTAAAGGAGTTTAGAAGTATAACAATTCCTATCAATGCTAGCGCTCAACCAACGTTTAAGCGCCCAGTGGCACACCCACCGGCACAAAATTCAAAAATAGCCGCCCCGACATTTTTCTAGTTTGGGCGTCCGTCCAACTCTGGTAAGTGCGCCTAAGCTGCCGAGGCTTCGGCCATCAATGTTAAGGTGACATAATATTGTACCCGGCCGCCGCCTTCTCGTGGTGCTCGTCTCTCACAGGTGATTTCTACTAGCCTGTATGGGAGTTGGTGTCATTTCTATCTAACAATTAGAGCCAGATAATTTGTCTATCCGGAACTGTGACCATGGATATACAGAAAAAAAGCCCGGTTGATCGTGTTTTGTTGATCGTGTTCTGTTGATGAATATTGACGAATATTCAGGTAACCGCATTCTAACGGTAAAAGGTACGTTGCTGGCATGATCCGGCCTTCGAATGGGTGTAAATTTACAACGCGCCAAAGTTTATGCCAGGGCATCATTTCGCCTCTTGATTCACGGCTCTGGATCATGGAATTTTTTTGCTGGAACGGTCTACAGACCGTTATGGCTGACTGTGGGCCTTAGAAAGCATTGAAATATTATTGCGGCATCTCTGCAGTGAGGATTATTTACAGCCGATGATGCATTATTGGGGCAGCCCGCAGATGTTCTGGACGTCGACAGCACATTTTATTCGGCGAATGCTAGCAAGCTCCTTACCTTCACCATGTCTTCACCCATCGTTCTGTCGGGCACATCAGTCAAGCAGCCTCCACTACTCAACTTTGAGCCACGCCGACCTTGTCCATACTAAACCTGTCCTTATTTGTACGCGACGAGCTTGTGGACAGCGGGACGGATGCAAGCGGGTGGTGCCAGTGTCGAGATTCTACCAGTCGGCGACGAAAAGAGACCGAGCCGTTTCGGCATTAACTCTTGTGTTAGCCCTCTGATGGCTGACAGAGATTAATGGGGTGCTCCGAGCACCGTGCTCGCATGGCTCTATTCTAGGAGGGTTCCTGCAGTGTAAGACCCGGCACAATTCCCATAGGTTGAACTCGGCCATTAGGTTGTTACCCAGTATCGGTTAGTCTTCCGTTGACGGAATCGATGATCACCTCGTCACGATCCAGCCAGCCTTTTTACCGTGTTTCTCACATCTATTACTGACGACCTGAGACCCACAGACTTACCTGCATGCAGATGGCCGATCAGACCTTGACCATCCACGGAGTAAAGGCGCCAGATCGAACGAAAGATTTGTGCCCAAGTATATACATCGTTTCCCGAGATGGGTACGACCTTATGGCGGCGAACCATTTTTATATCCGCTAGCTGGAAGAATTACTCAAGGAGTTCCTTGATGCTCCAGCGGGTTTCTCTACCGCCGACACTCACTTGCATATGCCTCCCGACCTGGGTATTATATCTGGCCTCGCATCTCGCAGGAGGAACACGAGGTATGTTGATAGTCATCCGTGCAAGTATAATTAACCAGATATCAATTCTTGGCTAGACTACCCAGGATTCCTTTGGTTTTTCCAAGCTTGGGATGGTCTTCCAGCGCCCATGTCTTCTTCGAAGTCAGTGTCACGCCCATTCGCGATTTCCATACAGCCTGACAGCATCGAGGGGCCAGGGTTCCTGTACTTCTGGTCTCTCACGTCTGTGTCTTGTGTACACACCTCCGCGGATGTTAGCGAGCGTCCAGGATCTCGTGTACGAATCTTTCCGCCTCAGTTCGAGGGTACAGATGCTGACCCACGCATAAAAGCGTTAATCCCGTTCATTACGGTACCATTAGTTTCTTCAAGACTGATATGGACCGTTTAGCTTAAGAATACTACCGTCACCCCCGATATTGAAATCTACCGAGAAGGATACCCATCGCCGGCCTCCCCATTCGAGATTCTCGCGGTTTATTTTTTTCTGTGTCGGTGGTCCCATCGTGGACGCTCATGTTGGAGCGCCGATGTCTCTCCGAGGACATCTCATGATCAAAAGAATCGTTACTAGTGCTAACGACTCGGTTTTTACTCAACCGGCGCGCTGGGATACTAGGATTACCGGGGGGGGGGGACAACTTCTGACTCCCGGTCTACGATCCTCCCGCATTCTATATGAGTTCATTCCTGGCATAATCACGCATGATGGCGGATGATGCATGAAGTATGGCGCGCAGGTTTTTTTTTTTTCAGGTCATGATGGACAGCTTCGGACATCTACACAAATTTCGACGCCTTCGTCGGTCAGTCACTATGCCGATCCGCTCTTCGTATTGACATAACAGGTCGAAAGTCGGCCCCCCCTCCCCCTCACTCAAGTCGCAGTCAACTGTCAAGGGCATCAAATCCATTTGGAAGGAATTCGGTGAAATTTGAAGATCAGGAACGTAAATGGTAAGCGCATTTATCATAATGGAATTAGGAAGTCTTCCTAGGGCGGCGTCGATCCTCGTCGGGCATCGTATTAAGGGGCAGAGTCAGACGTAAGACTCCCTCGGTCAGACAGACAGCGGCTTGTTTTTCCTGAATAGCAGAAGCGCCGGGATTTAGAATTTGACCGCACATCTCCTGTTCTAGCGAACAACAAGACGGCCCTTCAGCAATGCCTGATGCGGCGGTTGTATATCGGAATCATGATTTGAACGGTAATAATGAATAGCCCATAGGCGCGCAGCGAAATACCGTGGTAATTGAAAACGTACGTGACCTTATTATTCATCTATGCCGACAATCTGGCGGCAATGGTGCGGTACAGACAACTCTTCAAATCCCCAATCATTGGACAAACCGAGATAACGTGTATTAGGCCTGAACAAAACTAGCTTAGGTGGAGCAGTCCTGACGGCATATTCCGAGGCGCACGCCAAGCTGAATGACGGTATTTCAAGTTTTTACTTCTCTTTTCAGAGCAGCTAGTAGGCTAACCTACGTATCTCGTAGGGCCAGCTAACGGGCATTGAAACCCGACGTGAGGAGTAAGCCGACGTCGCTCTTCAATCCGTGGCAGGGGACGAAGTTGTTAATCACCCGTCTCAGTATCGGGCGCGAGGAATGTTCAAGTTGCCCGGACCATGGCGTGGCTTTCAACGAGCCATAGGCTAAGTAGTACATTGTGACTCTGTTAGCACCACCGTCCTTGAAAGCCGAAATGAGCGGAGCCCAAGATGTGCATTGCCAATCTCGGCTGCGACTGCCGCATTCTTTACTACAGTGGTGGAGATTTTAAAACCATCTGGGGAGGAAAAAAAAAATAGAAATGCTCTCTGACAAGATCGGATGGATCATCAGGAAAAGAAAGGGAATCAGAACACATGAGGAGTTAGAATCTCATTTGAACAGCCTTGCATTTTAAAACTTAAAGGAGAAAGTGGCAAACAGCGTCTATATATCTTGTCCGAAGAATTTGCGAAAAGGTTCTCTGCGGCGGGCGATGCCGCCCCATTTTCAAATGTGTGTGTATTATATACAAAGTAATTAACGGTCCCCTCCTCCCTCCTCCCTCGGATGTTCAGGCGAAATCCGAGTCCTTGGTCAAACCCACTAATCGATATTACAACAGAGTCCGTCGTGTTCAAGCTGTTCATCCCTGCTTGACTATTATTATTCCAGGGATGTTTTCAAGGTGATCCTGGGCCACTACCTCGTGAGTGCGCACTGATCCTGGTTGTTGTCGGCAAGATCAATCAGATGCCAGGAGCTGCATCGGCATTTATGATCTTAATACATATGGTCCACGTTCTAGGGTTCGAGTTAAATACCGAGGTGTGGTCGCTGTCACATGGAGACATGAGAGTATGTCCTTCTCACAACTCAGTACGATTGCGCCCGAGTACTTGGTGAATGCCATGCGCGCATGAACCCATCCTGTGCGCAAATAATGGGAAAAAAGGACCAATATTGATCGGCATCAGTGAAAGTGTACATACATATCTCAGAAGGAAAAAGAAGCGATGCTGCCTCAGGTTGATATTTCGAAACTATTGTATGTACTTTCCTCATGCTGATACCTATCTTTACGTTTGGGGGACCGCTAGCAGTTGCAACACGCTAGTCCAGGTATTGCTCCTACGTTATCGCAATTAAATATTTGCCTCAGGTGATGTTCAATCTGCGAACTGTCATTTTTTTCGGAACCGCGTTCGTTTGTCATGCCTCGATAATCTCGCATCCAAAAAATCAAATCGAATATCAGAAAATTCTATGATGAGTGGTATATTTGCTTTGTGAGAATGGCATGACGCTTTCTAGCAGCGGAAGTACATGTAAGGAGGGCGTCTTGCGAGTCGGTGCCTACTTGGGATATGGAGATCAACTGGCCCTTTTCATCAATTACGACCGATATCGTAGTATCGAGCAGAGGTTCCTCAAACGATGTTGGGTCCGGAAGGATTCGAGACCTAATCCGCGGTTGAGAGGGAGAGAATGGGGATAACGAAAACGGCTCACGAGTCGAAGACGCCAAAAGAGAATGCGATCGGAAGGCATTCAATTTGTAAAGGAATCATCACCTTACGGGAGCATGTCGTACGCCCGATGTCCTCGTTGTACGTCGCTTTAGGAAGCTTGGCTAACGGAATGGAAAAAAAAAAGAGAGTGGGTGAACGGGTGCATTTGGGGGAGAAGGGGGAGGGAAGCGTACTGTTTTTGAGAGCTGCGACCATCGCGATGAGAGTGGCATCAAACGCGTTTCCGTCGTAGTTTATGCATGTTGCGTCCACGTAAAGAACCCAGACGGATTTTCCTGGATGGATGCAGAGAGACTCTAGAGGTATGATACCAGAACTGAGGAGGAATGAGATGTTGACCAAGTCCTTCAATATCGCAAAAGACCAACCTAACAAGGACCTCATTCAACCTGTCGGAAAGCACCTGTGCGTCTTCTGTCGGAGGTCCTGGTTTGAATCTGGGAGAACTTATCGCAGGCAAATCTAAATTTGGGACTGAAACATAGCCGATTCAGAAAGGTATCCACCGAGATGAATTACGAACGCACCCAGAAACCCAACGTTTGGCGCATCCAGCTCTGGTTCGGCAAGTTCAGCCTTAACACCACATACGACAGTTGTGTCTCCAAGGCGAACGAGTGCGGATCCATTTGCTGTCGAGACCGAGCCTAAGAACCGTAAGAAATCCGGCATTTGCTGTGTCTACTTGACGAGGGAGTGATTCACCAACGTTCACAGAAACATCACGCCATGCGTCGAAATCGCGTCCATCTGGCCTAACATTCTCGGCTATGAACCGTTCAAGATAGACACGCGGGTGTAGCCTCTGGAAAACGGCGGCCTTGAGATCGTCTTGTTGTGGTTGAGAAGAGGTGGATGCCATTTTGGACGGATAGTTAGGAACGAAAATTATTCACAACGATTATGTAATGGAACGGTGATAGCCGAAAGCCTTATCCTTGTTAGGAAGAATATGCCCTATCTTTAACTATTTCAATTTTTCGATCCCGAGCCATTTCCATTTCCGGCCCCGCCCTAAACACACTGCCGAAAACGATCGCCGGATAATTGGCGGAAATTTCCATGCTGAGGAGTTTTGAATGACTCAGGCCGAGTCCCGCCAGTCTAGACGCGGCTCCAATAACGATCCGCTATGTTCAACCGCCACCCACAGGCACGAAAAGTGTGCCTTCAATTGCTCGCGAAAGTCTTCCTGGATCAGTAAAAAGCATTTACACCGTTTGCACAACAATATTCCTACCTATAACGGTGTACAGACGTGTAAAACTTTGTATTGCAAAGGTCCTACGTCTGCTATATTCTCACCTTGTCCGAGTACAGTTTTTCCACAACAAAGCAAACGTATCTTCTACTCCCCCAAGTCTAGCCCGAGATCACCCCTTTTGGGGGCTACAGATCCCGAGTGTGCTCGTCGCGGCTGCAATGCAATCAATATTTGCCAGAACAACGTACTTGCCAAGGCCCTTAATCGTTTTTGATCGAGCTGCGGCTGAGGCCAATCTAGCTCTTCATGTAATACTGCTACTAGTAGATCGTCGTGGACGATCAAGAGCCTGGGCATCAGGGCTAAATATCGCGAGTGATTGGGCGGACTCGTTTCCGAGCGAAACGGACAGAGACGCGTTCGGTGTGTCCACTAACATGCACATGGTTGCAGGGCGCCGACACGGGCAGGGGTGCTTGTAGATCCTCCCCACAGGGCGCCGAGTACGTCCTGATACAATAGCATTCTCCACCTCTGGCCCAGACACAATGCTTGAACTACCTCAGTATCTGTTTGACGCCATGAATTTGGCGTATCCTGCACGGGGATGGTATTATATAGAGAACATCCTCACAGGAGACACGTCCGTTGAGAATACAAGGCATAAGAGATTTGTCCTCAATTGTGGATCGGTGGAACATATTACAAGGTATCGCGCAGTCCAGTCGCGTGGATCACGCGTTCTTTGTAAAGACCGTGTTCAAGTTACTAGCATACAATCATTATACAGCATGTGCACAACAATATTACTACCTATAATGGTACAGACGCGTAAGAATCTTCACTACAGCGCCTAGCATGAGAAGAGCTGTAATGTATATCGTCATAGTCTCTTCTCTACATTCCTCTCCCGTGTACATTTTCCACCGCAACTACCACCCTGGTGGTGTCTAGGCCGAGATCACCCCTTTTAGCACGGCGAGTTCCGCATTGATAATGCTGCTGGTGGCGGCTCCAATGGAAACATTATTTGCCAGCACTACAAACTTGATATCCAGAACCTGGCACTGTCGAACACGTCCAACCGATACTCCAGCGCCATCTTGGTAATACCGATCGAGCCGCGGCTGAGGCCGATCTGGCTCTTCATGCACGACGATGGTTCGTCGCGGTGCAGAGGGACAACCAAGTGCCTGGGCATCAGGGCTGAATGCCACGAGAGCCTCCCTCACTTGCTGAGGACTGGGCGGCGGCCTCCGTGCGAAACGGATGGAGACGCATTCAGTGTGTCCATCGATAACAGGCACACGATTGCAGGAGGCCGACACGCGCAGGGGATGACGAGAGTGCATGTCAAATGTTTTGAGGCCGTCGTCCGACTCTGTGATGCCGCCCAGGATTTTGAGCGTCTCCCATTCCATCTTTTCCTCCTCGCTGCCGATATAGGGGACGACGTTGTCCATGATGTCGAGACTGGCGACGCCAGGGTAGCCGGCACCGGATATAGCCTGCATCGTGGTGACTAAGAGTGACTCGATGGGCCCGAATGCCCTTTCGAGGGCAGCTAGGGGTATAACGCAACCGGTAGTTGAGCAGTTGGCATTGGTAACGATGAATCCCTTCTTTAGTGGTGGTGAATGCAGCGACTGTTGCTGAGGAATGATGGAAAGATGGGAGGCATTAACGAAAGGAACGATTAGGGGAACATGAGGATCCCTGCGAAAGTTTTTCGCATTAGAGAAGACGGCAAGTTCTGCCGCTCTGAAAGCGGCCTCTGGTTACGAACTGTTAACGGATGAACGGGCGAAGAAAGCTTTACGGCATACCAATATCCCCCGCTGCATCTGCGTCGAGTCCGGAGAAGACAACAGCACAATTCATGAAATGCTCCGGTTTGCACTCATGTACCATCAGATCCCGGACGCTTGTGGGTATTGGAGTAGTCTGCTTCCAGTTTACTGCCTTTGAATAGAGTTTACCGGCAGATCTCGAGGATGCACCCAAGGTATCAATGTCGAACCAGGGGTGGACGGACAGGAGCGTGATGAAGCGCTGGCCTACGGTGCCCGTTGCTCCAAGGATTCCGACCTTGATCCGGCGCCCTTCTTGCATGGAATGTCGTGGATATTTAGATAGAAAGCGACTGGAATTAAAATCAATATTGTCAGAGGCTGGTTCGGCATTATTGAGAGTCATAACTAACTCTTGAGCTGAGACTGATTGGTGACTTGTGAGCAGTTCGGGTGCGTGTGCCGCAATACACGTGATAGACACTGTAAGCCCCCAGCGGAGTTTGAATCGGACCTTTCACTGACCGACGCTCTACTCGGACTCGACGAGGACGAGGACAAGATGGCCACATCCGCCGAGGCCGCTGCTCAGCTCATCTACGGACCCAATGTACATGCAAACTCATCGCTTGTGACCATAAAGTTTCTTTCTTCCTGCTTTTCCGGCGCCGTCGCCGGTATTCTTGGCCTCGAAAATTGGGTCGGCTTCGCCCTGTTCCTCGTATCAACTCTGTTCACGTCCTTGTGCATTCACACCATCAATTGCCGGGGGAATCCAGCCAAGTATATGCCTCGAGGCGTGGCAGACCTCGTGAACCCCGGGCAGGATAACGCCTTTACCTTCGTGCTTGTGTGGACTCTATTCTATGGTGCGGGATTCTTTATGGTACTTATTTCATAACCGGGACTAACGTACAGCATTCCAGGCATCGTCCACGGTACGCATTCTGTTCGCAGCGGTGTATTTATAACGAGTGAACGTCTCTTCTGTAGTGTACGACTAAAGTACCGATATCCCCAGTCTCCATCAGGAACTTTCTTTGTACGTTCTGTTCTTCCCTTACTCATCTCATCGTCCCTGTGACACAATTTTCATAACGGTAGCGTTCCGCACCAATTTCGAACGGTTGCGATGTGTCCGCGCAGCGAGACCATAGAATTATTATTATGTCGTCACATCGATTCACTTTTGCAAAAATTCCGGCCTAGGTTCATTCGCCGGAAAGAACGGATACAATTGGAACCGTAGTATGAATAGATTGCAATCTGATCCATTTTCCGGCATTTCTTGTCCTCTCATGCACGCGGGGTAGTCGTGGCGCAGGATCATTGGACGTTTGCGGCCTTCAAGTGCCGATCTTAGTGTCGTGATATTATTCTCTTCAAATCAAGGTTCAATCTACAAATCTGCGATTTGATCTCACCGCCCACGCGAGCCCACGCGGCATGCACTACACGTGGCGCAGCTGCACCGGCGGTGCTTCCACGTGGAGTAAATCCGTTCCGAGATTCCTTCTTCGAGCTTTCGAGACCACAACAATAATCATGGTTAAATCACGGCTCGACAACCTTTCCACTTGCTCTATCTCTCCCCCACCTCTTCCCTCATGTCTTCCGTCGTCCTCCTCCAGTTTGGCTCAGACCCCTTCAGCTTTCGATTCGAGGACCTCCAGGGCCGCCCTGCCTTTACCTTGTGCGTCTCTTTCCTTGCCGTGTCGACCGTCGAGCGCTGGTTTAACGTGTGATGGGGAATTGTTGTCAACAGGATCCTGGTATGGTTGCAAATTCTCCTCTTCGCGGCACCGAAATTTTGATCCCGCATCACAGGCCTCGCAGTACCCGACGCTGGTCATGAAACTCGCGCGGGAGGGCCCTTGGTCACAGCAATACCCCTCCATCATGGGCCCGTCGAATTCTTTCTTCTACTTTGGGCCCCGCACGTCGCCGGGATACATCGTCTACGGCAACAACCCCCTCAACCTCCCCATGTCCCACCTCATGCGTCAGGAGCGGGATAAAAGCTCGTCGGTGCCTTTGCTCGTACCTTTTCCACGCGCCAGTAACCAATGCCCTTAGGTCCCGGTATTTCACCTCACAGAGCGGGAATAATTATAAATGGAGAATGAGCAACACGCGGATGGAAGTAGGTCATGTCGTTCTCCCGTGGGTGTCACCACACCTCTGATGTGGGCGCTTGCTGCCTTTCTAGTGTATGGATGGTCGGACTCTCCTAGCGTCGTGGGATCTCAGTTCGCCGGAAGATGATTTCCATGCGCGGCTCACTATCAAACCCTCCGGCCTCCACATTGTCACAGAAATTGTCACGACTCTGATTCTAAATCGAATGGCCCAAGATTTGAATTGGCAGTGAACATTTGTGTTATCACATTCTCGTCATGACCCCTACATATACGCCCTGTATTATTATGTCTACGTTCCGCACTTCAGAACTTCTATGCCGACACGTGTATTAATTCATCTTCAGCATGCGCCATGCATTATGGTCCCACTACAAATTCTATACTCGCACTTTCTACATACAGTACGCGATGTGATAATTAATCTATGAGGTCGTAGTGTCCTTATGCACACGCTGAGGCGACTCTCGAGCCTGTCCCCAAAGGTGCTTAATGTATGTCGTAGGTGGAGAAAGTTGGTAGGGTACACTGTGGGGCTTGGCACAAAAAGTACTAGCGTAGTTGAAAAAAATCATTTTTGGACATACAATTCAAAGTTGGTCATATCTGGTGAGGATCTAAATGTTAATCCCACCGAAGTGAATGAGAAATCAGTTTCCCCGTACATTTTGAATCCGGATCAGACAGGGTAAAAGGCTGACGGCGCGTCCGTTAAAAGTACAGCTTATGATACGGCATGTGTGTGCGGTGGACACTGAAAATTGAAGGAAAATACCAGCTGTCTGTACGGCTTGCAGGCGGCATAACAACATTGGCGCCGGTTAGAGTCATTTTGCGCGGTGCCGACCACAGCCGTTAAATGATGTGTGAGAAACAGCCCTAATTAGGGATTCTGTGACAACATACACGGTGATAATGCAATGCCGATGCGAGTATATCTCATCTCGCACTGTACACGCACTGTACATAAAATAAAACGATCCCCGTCATGTGCATTAACTTCTATCAGCCGCACGGGCATACCGCGTGAAAAATTCCTTACTCTTCCTCTTTACGCAACTCGTCCAGTAACTCGTCCAGTCTCTTCCACTCCGACTCATCCTCAAAGTCCTTACTGCGGCCGACAAATGTCCGCACAAGGCTGCGAGCCTGCAATCTCCACTTGAACCCATCCACCCGCGGACCGAAGTTCCTCAAAATGTCTACAATTTCTTCCACCTCCGTAACGGCATCACGCCACTTGTCGATTTCTGTCTCGCCCTTCTCCAGAGTTCCAGCCGTGCCACAACGGTAGCCATCGAGGTACGCCTTAAGAGCGTCTTCCCAGCGTGATTGCCAAGTCAGCAGCCTCGCATAAGCCCTGAAGATTCGAGAAGACGAGACGCGTGGTAGAATCGTCCGTTCGAACAATATCAGCACATTTCGAAGTAACCCGTGGCCTTCGTTGGGATTCGTAGTCGCGTTTGGAACGTCGCCGCCTTCCACGGCATCTTCCAAATCCGCTGGAGCTCTCGTCACTGCGTCAACTAGCCTCTCCAGGACTTGCTCATCGACGGATTTGGCTCCAGCCCTATCGACTGTCTCTTCGACGACACGACCCAGTGCTCTACACGCCTCCGCCATCTGTCCCACGTCCATAGCAACCACCATATAATTCGACCACATCCGCCAATTATCATAGCTGTGCTTCAACCCCAGTTGAAGAGCTTTGAATGCAAGCATCTTATTTTCATATGGAATAGACTTCGCGGCTTCGCTTTTGTAAGTGAATGACGCATTCTGTCGCTTAAGGATAACAAAATTAGCTCGGTTTTGACCACATTTTCTGACATGTGACATACCTCTGCATCTTCATCTTTTTCCCGATCAGTGATACTCTCAGAAGATGAGGTACCGATCCGGAGATACATGGCCGCCAAGTTATTCCAGCTCTCTGCATCCTCTTCATCGATAGCGACACACCGGGCAAAGGCATTTTTGGCACCTTCCCAATCTTCGACTCGCATGCAAGAGCATCCTAGGATGAACCATGAGCGCGATAAGAGGGGGTGTATCGCCACAGCCTTTCTCAGGTAACCAATAGCCTTCTCATATTCTCCCCGTGCGAAGTAATATCCCCCCAAAGAACGCACGGCCCTCCCGGAGGTCTGTTTAGAAATCCCCCAGGCACGCTCATAATGAGCCGCCGCCCTTTCAGGCTCGAGATCACCCAGCAGGCACCACAGTTTGGCTTCCCGTGTGGCGTCGAGTACCTTTCTCCGATCGTCAGACGCGGGTTTTCCTCTGCTGATGACGGTCTCGGACTCAAGCTTTCGCCCTTCGAGAAGGTCTCGGATGATGGAAAGTCCTTTTTCTGGACGCTCCATCGTGACCCAGCACCTGACGACTTCTTCCCACATCTCGAGTCTCTCGAATATTCCCAGAGCGGACTTGACGACGCCCAGGCTGATGTAGCGTTGAGCAAGTTCCTTCTCCATGTCCCATCTGCTTGGGAGAAGGATGGAGTGGAAGAAGAGGAGGCGTTCGGAGAGCGTAGAGTCTGCTGTGGGCATCTGGTCCACTAGGGCTTGGAGCTGAAGGGCTGAACGCTCCACAGTCCTGGTTCGTGTAGACTCCAAGCGGGACCGAAGGAGCAACGCCATCGTGTGGATGGACCAATTTCTGGGGTGAGACATAACACGGGCAACATATGGGTTCATTTGTTCCGTCGTTAGACCGTGTAATGGGGATGTATTTTTGACATTTAGACAGAGGCCTAGAAGGATACACTGATCCAAAGGGTGTAGTGCCGGTTGCGAGGATGGATTAAGGTGGTGAAGCCGGGAACCTGATTGGGAAGGCTTCGACGAGGTAAACTGTGTTTGTTCTAGGAGCGTGTCATCGTTGAGAGGTAATGTTTCCGGAACTTGCTCTATATTCGACTCGGCGGTGGTGTTGGTGAGAGCGTCTACCGTAAGATGACTCTCCGCGAGAAGGACAAGTTGGCTGAGCTCAGTTTGCTGGAACTTGGTCCGTTTACCGAGTGCTCCAGTCAGCTCGTATTCTAGTCCTGTACTCCGTGCTGCACGAACAAAATACTCTGCTGCTAACTTATCCTGAGACAATATATGATGGAGCAGACCTCGCTCAAGGTGCAGCCTCCCTGAAAGCTCCTGGTCGGAAGAATATAGAGTTTCTAGCTCTTCGAAAGACCCCAGGGCGTCCGAGGGTATGGAAACAGGCTCATCAAGCACTTGCTGATGGACCAGCTGAGAGCGCAGACGCCACCACCGCGCAGTCTTGCAGCATGCAAAGGGGGACTCCAATAGAATTTGTGCCAAGCGCAGGAACGGTGCTACTTTGACGAGATGGTATGCGGGCTCTCCACCGTGTGCAAGTTCGGCGATGGATTTTTGGTTTAGGCGCTCATCCGATACGGACAATGATGCGTCGGAGGGTGTAGTGAGGACTTCAACGGGAGTAACATCTAGATCCGGGCCCGTCCAGTTCGCCTGAACGAACGCATGAAGGCAGGCAACTGCAATCGTCAAACGTAAGATTTCCTGATCAAAGCCGGACTCATTTGATAGAGATGCATTGGTATCCAATACTGCGCTCAGAGAAGCATTCTCGATGTCCTGCGAGACCCTGAAAAATGTTCTGACGGATTCGGATGTGAGAGCGTCGCGAAACCGGCCTTCTACCACGGATTTGGCTAAGGATATCGTGGAATCCTGAGAATAAGGTATCTGGGTATTCCATTGTCCCGTCAGGAGCGACTTTTCAAGCAAGGAGAGGTCCACGCTCATCGAATTTTTTTTTTGTGCAAGTTGTTGGTTAGCAAGCCGAAATTTGTGAACAGTGATCGGTTTCGGAGCCGGAATATGCGTGCCACGTGAGTTATCGATGACGGAATGCAAAACTTTGTTCTAGAAAAACAACTGGGCCCCAGGCTCCCTCCCATTCGCTCAACCAAAAAGACGACAAGAAGAACTTGCCAAAAGTAGCGTCTACGCATTTCCCGGGACTTTGAGTATTTCTGCGACATTGAGATTCGGATCATCCCGCGGCTTCGTTTCCTTTCATGCCTCCTCGTCGCCGGACTACGATATACGACTTTTCCGGTCTACGTGTTCATGCCGATGGGACTCGCGTCGAGCAGACCAATCGCAACCTACGCCCCGTCATCCACGGGAATACTACCCAAGATTGGCGTGGTACCTGGACGGCCAGGGATGCAGCTGGAAGAGGGCAAGTGAAGCGAAGACGGAGGTCTAGTCCCAGCGAACCTGACGAAGGAAAGGGAAAACGGAAGGGCATGGAAAGCGACGAAGAGGAGCATGTTCCTTTGAAGAAACGGAAGACAAAACAGGCAGAGAAACGCCGGAAATTTGCTGAAGATTTTTCATTTCTCGATGTTGACGTACCGGCAGCTTCGTCTCAGACAACCTCGGACGCTGTTCAAGGGAATGACCCTGTTTTTTCATCTTTTCCGGTGCCTTCGTCCGTATGTTTTTTTTTCTATTCCAAAACGAACAGACATTCATGTTTCTTTTATTGGAGGACCTTCTAAAATGTATACATCATTTCGCAAGTCTGTATTACAGCGAGCGAGGCCAGTTACTCAACGCTTCAAAGTTGTACCGGCTTAGAAGAAAGGCTCTACAAATGAAACGACTTGCAAAAGCGAAAAGGGAAGAAGCAAACGATGATCGCAACTCTTCAGATGAAGATGGTGACCCGCAAGACGCCGAGCAGTCAGTGCAGGATGAGAGTGATGAGGAAGAGCTCGATGACAAAGAAGCCAGGTCGAGAAGGAGAGGCCAGAAACCGAAAAAACTCATCGGTGTTCTCAGACGAGATATGTACAAACTTATGGATGGGACAGCATTGATGGCCATTGGTGAGCTTCTGCCGTCACACTGCAGTGTTCGACTGACATGTTCGTAGGAGTCTTATTGCAAGAACATGTTGCGCACTTGCTGCAGCCAGATGTGCCAGAGGGATGGTATGATGAAGCGGACGTCGGTGAAGAAAGCAGTGACGGTGCAGATGCAGATGAGGTTGCAGATGAAATCACACGGATATCTCCATCATCCCATGGAACCGAAATTAATTCAGACGCACAGCGTAGGGAATATTACGGTGTTGTGTAAAATGCAGATTTGTCAACCAGCCCACCTAATAAAATCCTGGGCTTCCCAGCAACGAGCTTCGTCGGGTTCCAGTCACTGGGAAGGGTTCCGTCCTCCCAGCTGCGCAAGAGATTCGCTTCCAGAATGCCCGTTTCGTTCGCAGGAAATATTCGTAGTCTTTCTAGCCGTCGTTCTCGTAATTTGTTTTTGGGCAACATACCAGAGACAGCATGGCGAATGATCTACAAGACTTTGAGCATAGCCCCTTGAGCAGACGTGAGAGCAGACGCACCTCTTCGGGCTTTTTCACCATCATATCCTTATACGACATCTCCTTCAGTCCTCCCGGGTACATTGAATGTTTTCGATATAAAAACTGTTCGGGCTTGCGTCCGGTCACCTTCACCTTGAGGCAGTTCGTCACAATCACGTAGTCCCCGCAATCCACTGGCATTGTCAGAGTTTCATCCGAGAGAAAGGCGCGCCTAACACACCGCTAGGATCGTAAATGGGCTTGTGCTTTCCCATTAGAACAAGTGCAATTCTTTCCGCCAGTTTCCCGAGGATGCGGTCCGTCGCGTCGACCTGATGCCATACTCGGGCATATGCTAATGCAGTCTGAAAATTGACGTTAATAGCGAGGCAAGAGACGGACCAGACGACGTACATTGCCCACAACCTGCGACATGGCCGCTCGTGACAGAGGTTTTTATCGCCGAATCGGGAAGGGCGGCCTCCAAATCAAACAGTGACAAGTATTCGGATTTGTCATCGAGGCGGCCGATCGTCCCCGTCGGCGTCAAATCGGGACGGTCAGTCGCATTCTCTTTACTGAATTCGCTAAATTGCCTATTGGATTCGCGCATCGGTGCCGAGAGTAACTTCATAATGCCCTTCTACTACCTCTTTTCGTACGCATAATCTCGTACCATTTGAGTTGAATCATGGACCATGACTGCAAATTTCCTGGTCAATAGCCCCAATGCGCTAAAGTTTTGTATGAACTTCTCGCTGATATCATTCTTCTTATCAATTTCGCCACAGACCGTATTGATATTGCGTTGACGTTTCTTACGGAACAATACTGGAGAATGTCAATCTTATACCATTCCCCAAGCTTCGACAGTGCACCCAAGTTCACCTACCGAAGTGCACTCAAACAATGTCGTTATTCATATACGGCCTACTCCCGGTCACTGACACCCGACAAAGGAAGATATTTCTGCCTGAAACTCGCGGATACGACTGTCGACTGTACCCCGCGGGCCGTTCAAACTTCCCTACCTCTATAATAGATATACCCCACTGTTGGAACTCATCCGAGAGTCGCATTTTGACCCATAAAGCCAACTTCGCGACTTACTAAATGTGCCTCATCGGAGCCCAGTCACGGTCCTAGAACCAATGACAGGTTTCTCGGAAGCCAGTTCTCTCCGCAGTTATCGTGTTTCCTTTCAGAAAGCATCATCATCGGTTTTACCTGTGGTCTTAACGCGATGCTAACCCATAAGACAAGGTTCGATGTGGGTCCTACAGCTGAAATGCCATTGGAACGATTAACGCAGACGCCGCATCCATCGAATAAAAATTTCAGCGAATTCGAACGCTTCGTTATCATGTTTCAGGGCGCCGCAACCGCCTTGCGTTCGTCTTCCACGTCATATCTTTGCTACTTATCCCGTAATGAAAACGTGTCGTTCGCCCCTACATTGCCACTGATGTTGACTGCGAGGTATGTTTGGCATAATTTCCGTGTCGGACCACGGGCCATACCAGTTTCAGGGTAGAAAACAGTATAAGGTCGCCAAAACCTCGTGTTATACAGGCAGCACGCGCCGTGTACCCTCCCCTTAATAGACGGCCATCAAGAAACGCGTACTTGTGGTTTTTTATGTGGTGAATGTGCATCTTCACATGCCCTTGAAGAATTAAGTGGTCTATCGTTGACGCGGCGGCGATCATTGAATCGGCAGCGGGCTTGCTGACCCTAACCTCCTATGTACGTCGTGTATCACCGTCATGTCCGATTTCTTCTTCTCGAATGATGCGGAGATCGGCAGCATTTCGAACCCGCTCTCGTTATCGACATTGGGACCTGAAGATCAAATCTTTATTGAACAACAAATAACAAAGTCCGAATAATCTGGACCTATTCAGTTTTTTTCTACCCTGAACAATCTGCGCCAAAGTCCGGGTAGTGGCGTATGGGAAACGCTTTATAGCCTATCCCGATGGAGTCCCGCGGCGCATCATGGAAGCTGAACATTTGGAAATTTTCTTCTCGGTGCTCCAGAATGGAGAAGTTAACGTTCGTCACCTGCTTCCTAGTTATTAAGTAAACCACCGCACATCTCTGTTCCAGGACAGCACAGAAGATGTTGCTACTGAAGGTGTGAAATCCTACGGTCACCCGCAAAAAAGGAAAGAAATATCTGCAGAGAACACTGCATATCTCGATTGGCTTTGACGAGATCCCCCTGGCGTACGGTCACCTGCGATAAATTTCGCGGCGATCCTTTCCCGCCAAGTTCACATGCCGATCTCTTTCGACCGAATGCAATTTGAATTTATGAGAAGTGCTTTGTGCAAGAATATGTTGTCTGGACCCCCTTGGCACCGTAATAGTATACATCCGGGGCGCGAACATAAAAACAGATGCAGAGGGACGTAGGACGGCTCGCAAGATCCCAAAGAAGCATCTTCAAGGAGGAATCATAGACTGATGGATCCTGAGGCCCCGAGAGGCAAAGTCTTGGGTTGACAAAATGAAGCTCGTAGTTGCGTGTGACTGGGAGATCATAGAAAATGAGGCTGCGAATTCCTATGCAAAGGTTTCGGTACATTGTGCTAGAGGTGCGTCGAGAAACATGTCAGGATGTAGATAGCTTCAGCGCCATCCAGGTGCACGGCAGTTGAGCATATTTTGCATTGAGGGTGTTGCATGCGTTAATCAAATCTACTATCGCTGCTCTTAACATTTAGCGTAAGAAGCAAAGATGTTTATATATATCCGAAATATCAGCCTTCCCGTCTTACATAGATCACGGCCCCAGGTTGCACAGGGACGGAAAGTCCGAAGCTTTCTATGCGAAGATGCATCCGAGAGGCGATATTACACTTCAGAGACCATACGAGCCTACGGCAAGAGTGAGCAGCTTGCTTTGAGTCAGGAAAAAAATTATTTACATCAGAATGGAGAAGAAGAAATGCGTCTGCAGCAATTCAGTATAGAACATCGGATGGGGCATACCAAACGTGACGCTTACTTGTAAAGTAACAGAGGTGATTAGAAGCAGCATCCAGAGGACTAAAAAGGACAGTCATATCAAAGGTTCAAGGTGCAGAAGGCATCATAACACACGAGAAACTATCTGCCAGGAGAGTTTACAAGTCGTGCGGGAATTTCAGTGACAGAATAGCTTACCAAGTACAGCCTACTGCCATCACGCCTCAGCGAATCAAAAAGTTCACTTTCAGACCGGCGCGGTATTTCCAGAGCATTGTACAGGGTGATAAAAATCACGAACAGGTTGAAAAATAGCTGGGTTATTCATATCAAGAAACGATCTCTCCTCAAAGGATGGTGACATTTACCATGATACTCATGATGTACGTTACCGTCAACGGTACCTTCACACCAACGGGGCAAACATCCACGCTGAGAGGTACTTGTACTATAACAAAACATTAACAACTGGTCATTGGAAGTTAGAGCCAGTGGTTACCTCGAGACCTTAAGATGATTAAGACAGTCATAACCGCAAGAATGGTGGCACCGGTTATGCAGGCTACAAATACAACGAGTAATGTTTTGCGAATAGTCCGTCTGTGATCCCACAGACGATATGCGTGCATCATGACGAAGGCTGCCTCTCTGTCAGTGACAAATCTTCTTGGTATGAAATTAATGGGCATGCAACCAACATTGTAGAATGCCAGCCAAAACAGTTGCAGACATGATGAATAACCAAGTCATTTTCGTGCAGCTGCGGACGTATTTCAGTTATCTGACAGTCTCTTTGAATCAAAGCATGTAACGCTCACTCCTAGTTATTACAACGGCGTCGGACTAAGTATCGCGAAAGCGTCAGGTACGGACCGTATTAGAAGTGCTTCCCAATCCACCCAATACTGCATGATGAAATTAGCCAAAGAGCAGATATATGAAACACGGGCACGAACCACAAGTCGTGTATAACATCACCACTTCCGTGAAGTAACGGTTCATTACATAGACGACTTTTGTGAGGATCTGCCCGTTGAGAGAGCCCCACATTGTTGCTACTTCTTCGTCAAGCGTCAAGCAATGGTCCCATAAAATAAGAACAGTCGCCGCAGCTATGCTTTCGTTAGGTCCCGATACGTGAAAGTAAAAAACTGTGTTGGCGTACGCGGCGCAAATTTTGCGAATAATAATTGGGCAACGTAGGTGGTTGACATTGGGCTTAGCATGGACGAAGGGAGATACACGAGCTTTGACTCGTGAAATCGTCCAGTTATAAGATCTTTGAGACATCAGGCCATCAAGAACAGAAGCAAGTCCCTCGTTTCGGAATGAAATGAGGTGATGCAACAAAGACCCAAGTACAGATGTTAGCGGATCCGCTCCTATGGCAGTGTATCGACGAGATGAAACAGATGTGAACTCTACATTGATGAGACATAATAGTAGCTGGAGTTACAAACTGCTTGTCCTGCGCTTCGACCAAAGGTTACGGGTAGCTGGATGCACGCACATAGTTCACGGAACGACAAGGTTCCAAGCCGATGCATCGTTATTTAGCTGCAGAAGTGGATGCGATTACAGGGGCATCATCGAAGCAAAGACGGCGTGGAGTATCAGCTATTTATATACTTTTCGTCCACATGGACTGTCTTCATCCGGGATGACTTGTTTTTGCCGAATATGGTAGGTGCATCATGCTAGGCAAGATACTAAAGTCAAAGTGAATAGGATCAGGATGTGACAGATTGATGCAGGCCGAACCTCGAGAGAAGAATTGTCACAAAATGAATGAGAACCAAAGACCCAGGTGAAAGAACTGAGTACATTTATGCCCATCAATGATCTTCTGAGCAGGAATATGAGTGAGGTCGGGTGGGTGAGCATGAGTGACTTTGACTCTATTCTCAGACCTCAGAGATTCAGATGGCAGCATAAGAGAGTACTTAGCAGTTGTAGGATCTCTAATACAATCAGCATCTCCCTTGGCATCATCATCATCTGTAGTCCTGACACTAGGATAGGCACCATATTGAGACCAATGAAGACTATCCATGAAAAAATCTACAGCCTCCTGGTGACACAGCCATGTGGCCATTTGGGAGATATAGTCATGCTTGTTTGAGGCTCAGTAGGCATCCTTGGCATAGTTGATATGAAGATGCTCAGATGATTCTGTGTTGAAATCATCTGCACTGACAAAAAGGTCAGTGAGGTGGACATAGTGCTCCATAGCATGGATTTTTGGTATGTTGAAATGGTCTCAGAATTCCAGTTCAATGAAGACTTCCTTGTACTCATGGAAGTTGTCCAAGGCTTGAGAGAGGGCAGTGAGGGTGATAAATGTATGAGAACAAAGGGAGGCAAAGTAAAAAAAAGTCAACCACTGCTCTAATAGCTATAAGGATATGTTTGTCAACCACTCCCATGATCAGTCCAACAAAGACCTGCTCCATTGTAATGAGACCTCTGATTACTTTTGTTTACCTATAGGTTTAGTTAATATTTGATTGACATGAACCAGTATATAAAGTAACTTAGTCTTTTTGTACTGGTTTGGACTTTTCACAATCAACAGCTTTTACAACTGTCACTGGCTGTGCTAAAGTTCTTTGTGTGAGTGATGATCTTGATGCCACCCTCACATATTTTTGACAGCCCCATTGACTATTACTTGCTTAACTTCTTAAACTCTTTTATTTGTGCTTCATTATAAATCTCTTCTGTGTCATTGCTATCTGGTAACTCTAGGCCTGATCAACCAAGAACTTCTAACAATAATGAACAACAATCAATCACCAAAAACTGTTCACTACCTAATGAAGGATGACTCATTATAATCTTTAAAGTCAGTGAGCTACTGCTATTTCTATGGTGCCAGCTATAGCTGAGGTAGATGGTCCACTCTCAGACACACAGGGTGAGTCTGTTACTTCTGAGCCACAAGCTAATAATTCTACAAAAATTGGCACTGCAAATGTCAGAGGAAGTGTTTTCCAATTAGCTGTGAGCTGCAAATTGTTATGATTTTTCCATTTCTTTGATAATTAACCTCTATTTATACTTAGTCAAAGCATCTAAACCAGCACTTAAAGACTATGGGACAAGACTTAGTCATCACAAATGATTGAGTCCAGCATTGTCTTTTGATGCAACAGTGTTGGAAATCCTTGATGATGTGCAGGGTAGACTCCAGGCTGGTGAGGCTAGAAGGTATGAACTCCTTATTCTACAGCTCCTACAGAGCTTGTATTTATACTCTCCAGACTTATATCTAGAATCTACTACAACTTTCTCTTTCTCTCAGGCTTACTCATCAACTCTTGACATGATGCTGGATTGCTCTTTCTAGAACTTTCTAGCAAAATCCCAACAAACAGCATTGTTAAATGAAGCACAATCAGTCTTTTATGTACAATAGTGATGCTCAAAAACAAAGAGCACAAAGAATGTAGCAACACATAATAGGTAGTATTAGTATTATTAGAACAGCCTGTACAGTATTTAAGATGGCTCACTCTTACTGGGATCCCCAGCTTTGAGCTAAAGTTTATTCTTATACCATTCTACACTTGAGCCAATTTAAGACCTTGTGACATATTGATCAGAATATGCATCAGTGAACTCAGTCAATCTCTTGAAGTGTGAGGAGACTTCTGTTTATCATATGTTTCTGTTCATGTGATGCTTGGGTCTAACAATTAGCTCAAAGCTGTTCTTTCTCTTTCCTTATGCACAGCTGTGTGGAGAAAACTGAATGTCATCAATCAACCTTGAATCTCTGAACTTTGATCACAAGTTCTTTGAACTCTTCACCTCCATCATTGGAACACTGTTAGGCTTGCTGGTAATTATCCAGCTTTGCTGAGAAAGACAATCAATTACCACCTAGGCAGTCCAGCACTATCAGGAATTTCAACAGATACAACAAATTCTAAGAAATATCACATCTGACCTCCTCTTCCACAGCATCTCAAACTCTCTCTGAATCTCTGTCCAGCCTCTGACCTGAGCTGTATTCCAAATTCACACTAGAGGAACAGATCTGAGGAGTCCTATGGAAGAAGAGGGATCTACAGAACCCCTGTGACCTCTATGAAGCAGAAACAGTGACTCTCACCTTATAGGGTTCAGAAACCCATGGATCCTGATGCCAGTCTCTGACCATAAGGATGAGAGTGTCTCTGATAACTTCTTTGACAATACACTCTCTGACAATCTCTCTCTCCCATGTAGAGGGCTTAGAGACATCATTAGAGACTTCTTTGATGCTGTTAGAATGGCTTCAAGACTCCTGACCATATCACCAACAAACTTTAGACACAACTCTCTCTATATCACTCTACAGTTTAGCCTCCACCTATAGCCAAAAACTGAATATACTCAGGACATAGAGTCCAGACAAGAACATACAAGCTGGAGGCCTACTGTTGATGATGTCATCAACTGAAAAAGTCAAGATTTTACAGCAGAGGAGCTTTATGCAACTAGTGAGGACATCTTCAGCAACTTCAACATATCTGAAGCTGAGCTCACACAAAGGCAAACTCTCTATGATGATGAAGTCTATGATGTGCAGTATCATTGATGACAACAAGAGCTTGAGGTGGCCAAGTGGGGCACCTCCAGCTTCCAGATCCCAGATTTACATACCAGCAGAATCTGTTCTCTTTTTTGAGAGCCCAGCATCCAGCTTACCAAAGCTGACCTATAGGCAGAGTCATACAGCTCTATCATCTCCAGTGAAGTTGATGAAAGAGAAAATGGGGACAGAGTCCCCTATCTCCCTTGAACCCTCTACTCTGAGACTCCTGAATATTCTCCTTCTTGGCAAACCCCCAGCATCAACATCATCAATGAGGATAACAAGTCTGTTCTTATTGTTAGGAATGTGCCAATCAAGTGGGCTTGAATGCATGCATGGAGTCTGGCAGAGTGCATAAGCATTGACAAAGCTATTGGCAACATCACCCTTGAGTTGGAGCCTAAGGATCTGGATAGACAGAACAGAGTTCTATCAGAGAAGCAAACTGGAATATCCTTTGAGGCAGAATCTGATGGATGAGGTAGAGAGGAGTTGAAGTGAGTGCAAAGTGTAGATGGCTTATTCAAGTTGATATTTGAACTGAGTAGTTATGATGATGTATATGGCTTTATATACTAATGGTAGCTAATTCTGAGTTGGGTTCTATTGGGTTCCAGTGTCAGTATTCACTACTGAGTTTGGGGTCTAGATATTACAATGTGAAATACAGATGTGAAATGATAATGGTGAAATGAAATTAGTAGGTAATGAGAAGTGGCTGGAGTCCAGTGGGTAGTGTGATTGGATTTGTGGTTGGTTGAGGTGACACAGAGTCCAGCAGCATGCATGTAACAGTATCCCCCCTTTAGCATTCTTGCCCTCAAGAGCACAGATCCTGATGGCTGGTAGGGCCATATGGAAGATTGTTAGTGGCCATGAGAGTTTTGCAGCTTGATCTGAAACCACCATCTTCACCTATGTTATTGCTCACACACTTCTAAGCCTCTGGTGAGGGGATCCACCTCTGATGGTCCTGAAGAGGCCAAGAAATTGTTTTATCTGGAATGGCAAACTGCAGAGGAAGAATATGCAGAGGCTGTAGAGAGCTATTTGAAATGGAAAGGAGAGTGGGAGCAGGAGAAAAGGGCCCAGATAGACCATGTGGCCTAGGAGTCATGGAAAAAGGAGCAGAAGGAGGAATTGGAGAGAAAGAGGGAGGAGGTTTAGCAGGCTATAGAGAGGCAGGCTAAAGAGGCCAAGAAGGTATTGAGAGAAGTGGCTCAGAGGGAGGCTGAGGAGAGAGAGGCTGCAGAGACAGTGGCAAGAGCTGAGGCTGAGGAGGTAGAGCCAGAGAGGATGGTTATAGAGGATGGGTTGCAAATGATCCCCATGGAGGCTGTTGATTTCTGGCTGCATCAAGTGTTGGCAGAACAGTTTGGTCCTAGCTCTGGTCTTTGCTTCAAGGAGGTGACTCACCATGCACCTTTGGAGTCTGATAATGAGCAGTACAAGGGGACTGAGAGAGACAATGAGTCTGAAGAATCCAAGGGGACTCTGGAGAGAAGGAAGAGGGTGTGGGAGAGGAAGAGAAGGGCAGCAGGTCTGACAGAGAAGGGCCATAAATGCAAGTTCAGGTTGAGGAGTATAGTGGATGGCAGTAGGACAGAGGTGGTTGTTAGCCCCAAAAAGCAGGCAAAGTTGAAAGTGGTGGGACTAGCAGAGAGCAAAGAATTGTTGGATGGTGAAAGTAAGTGTCTTGGTTTTCTTTCATGGCTTAACTTAGTTTTTGTTTTCAGAGAGTTGTGTACACTGTCATCAAGATGATGCATGGCATTATGCACAACTGGTAACTGAAGACACCAGTTAAAGGCAGACTTGCTCTTGCTACAAGATCAAGAAAACTGCCTGTTCATTCAACAAGAGCATCACTGTGAGTAAGGTGATCAGCAGTGTGGAGGTCTCTGTCAGTCTCCACCAACTTTCAAAATTGATATGCCAGTTGATGTATTGCATGGATGAGTTGGCAGACAAGGTGGTGGATATTCATAGTACTGTGGCAGATCTTTAAGACGACT